ATAGTAAATGGCATTTGAATTTTTAATATAACTTTATTAGCTTATTAGATATAAACATTTAAAGTTTCAAAATTTTGAGTTAATATACATGTATAATACACATGGGATTGTAAATACAGGTAGCTAATTGGTTTTTTATAACATCGATATTAGCAGGTACACAGCATTGTTATTATCAATTGTAGTAAGGCACATTGTTATGAGTTTATAAATACACTAACTGACAATACAGAATGTATATCTATTGATAATCATAATTGATAATAATATGTTTAAAGGTGAGACAGCAATNCTTTAATTTGATATATGTTTAAAGGACGCAGTATTTCCGGAACACTTTCAAAAGTTAAGTTGAAAAAGTTCTATTTTTTATACAATGTTTCAAGTTTTGAACGCCCCCAATATAAGAGAAAATTGTCCAATTTTAATAAAAAGTATGTCAAATGAAAGATGTACTTATAATGTATTTAGAAAAAAAAAATTTGTGCTGATATATACATTTTTCAAAAAGTTATAGCATTTTTAAGTTGAAAATTTAAAATCGAAAATCGAAAATTTTAACACAAAAATAGTGTTTTTTTAACTACGGCAGCCGTTTAAATGTAGAAAAAAAAGTGTCGGGACAAATTTTTTTTTTTCATTTTGTAGTACATAAAATAAGCTTTAATTTGATATATGTTTAAAGGACGCAGTATTTCCGGAACATTTTCAAAAATTAAGTTGAAAAAGTTATTTTTTGTAAAAAAGTTACTATTTTAAATCCTCCCAGTGAGCAGAATAAGTGTTAGATTTTCAAAAAAAATTATATCAAATGAAAGGGAAATATCTAAGGTTTCAATACAAAAAAATATTATTTTTATTTGTTCATTTTTGAAAAAGTTATGGCAGTTTTAAGTACAAAAAACATCCCGATAAAATGTAATTTTTATCGCAAACATTACATTTTTTTTTAAATTTTCGACAGCCATTTGCACATAGAAGATAAGATGTCGGGACAAATTTTTTTTTTTCATTTGATAGTATATAACATAACCTTTGATTTGATATATGTTTAAAGGACGCAGTCTTTCCGGAACATTTTCAAAAATTAAGTTGAAAAAATTAATTTTTGTAAAAAAGTTGCCATTTTAAATCCCCCCCAATGAGCAGGTTAAGTGATAGATTTTCAAAAAAATGATATCAAATGAAAGGTAAATATCTAAGGTTTTAGTATAAAAAAAAATTATGTTGATTTGTTGATTTTTCAATAAGTTATGGAAGTTTTAAAAAAAAAAAGTGAAAAATTTCGAAAATTAGCGATTTTTAAATTTGTAATTTTTTTGAATATTTCCCCCATTTGCGGAGAACGAGCAAATTTTTTTCAATTTTTAAGGGTAATGTCTTTAACTAGATACGATTTGTGATCTTTTGACGTATTTTTGAAAGAAATCGGTCCAGTGAGAGCTGAGAAAAAGTGGCAACAGACATAAAAAAAACACATCATAGTAAAATTAATACCTTCTCAGCTTCGCACCGAAGCTAAAATAGTTTATTATCGATTTCAGATTTTGTGATTATTCCATAGCATTATGCTTATTGTTATTATATTAACAATAGTGGTGTGCGATGCCGACTATATTTTACCTTTAATATAGGCAATTTGCGATTAGTAATCTCTTTTTGTAACTAATGAATTATATCACAACGCATTTGCGGAAAGATAGGGAAATACTTATTCAACAAACACAAAAAAATTAAATAAGGACAAATAATTAATTATACTTCTAATAAAATATAGTGTTTAGAATCTTTTACAAGTAAAATGAAGTATAGTGTTTGTGTAGTTAAATCGTATTATTTAAAATTTGAATCGTTTTTGTAAGTAATTATATTGAATATATGACGTGGTGTGTAAACCGTATACGTAGTGTGTAGTAATACAAAAAATAAGCAAAAAAAAACGTGAATGGGGAATTTTATTTGACCAAGGTTGGATGTTAGGGATTTGATCAATTCAGGAGCAACGAGGTTCTATCGGGGTAGTAGAGTCCGAGGGATTAGAACAGTAAAGACAAGTAGATATAAAAAAATACAAATTAAGTTCCTCTCATAGAGGTATTAAAACGCTGAGGTATTCTTGTAGTGGCCGGGGTCTTGGCCTCCTATCTCACACCCAGTCGAAGCGTGATGTTAACTGGTATGTGCTTTAGTGGAAATACTGAGGCGTTCATGGAGTGGCGGAGGCCTCCTCTCAGACACCCAGTCGAAGTATATGACCAAGCACTAACTAGTTATTAATAATTAAATTAAATGATGTTTAAAAAATCTATTGCTTTACCATTCTTTGCTCAGATAATTAAATCTAAATAATTGGGTTAATATAAATTTACTTTCTTCTTTTATATATCTCACGTTCAGATTTATACTTTTTCTTATTAATAAATAAATAACGTATTGACGCAAAAATAATTGTACTTGAAATCGCTATAAAATATAGCGACGACAACACGGGGTCGCGGCTAGTTTGTTCAAAATAAATCAAATAGAAGAATCCTGAATTCCTTATTGAATTCAGATCTTCAAAAAGAAGAGCGAATTGAGCCGCTCGCTGGCACGCTCGCTCACTCACTCACTCACTAATGTGCAAGCAGAATTAAGCCTTTTTATATTATTTTTAATTACCCCCATTATAGGTTGTTGTCGTTAGCGCATTTAGTGATTTTCAGTTTATTGTGTAAAATTTGAACATAACATGATAATGATTTTTAAGATAAGATGCATAGTGTACAATAATCAATTAAACATGTATATATATATATAATAGCTAGTGTACAACAGTGTATATGTTATAACAGATAAATAAATTATTTGTTTGTTTACAATTGGTATTAAATATAGAGTAATCATTTTTTATTGATAATGTAAGATGTATAATGCAGAGCATTGTGCATATTACGACAAGTGCATTTAATACTAGAATTAACGTTGAATTGCTTAAAATATTATTTCGTAAAATAAGACATAAGGTAAGTACAATTTAACCTATGCTTTCGAACCTCCAACAATCTATTGCGTATTAAACTATTAATAAATTATCTAAATTTAAATACCAAAAATATATATTATAAAGGAAGAGATTTCCTTCCATTACTACCTTAAACTGCCTTGTTTTACTCTTTTATTTTTACTTTTACAGTCGAGGGAGACATAAATTATGCGTGGAATAGATTTGCTAGTAGTGTAAAGAATACTGCAAAGGAGCTTGTTGGTCAGAGTAGGAGTAGAATGCCAGTAAACAAGGAAACCTGATGGTGGGATGAGGACGTGAATAAAATCATATAAATTAAGAAAAAACAATTCGTAGTATGCCAGATGAGCAAAAAAAGAGAAGATTGGATAAAGCATAAACACTTGTGCAAAGAAGCCAAGTGTGAGTGTAGCAGAGATGAGAATGTTTAGATGGATGAGTGAAGTGACCAGAAAAGATAGAATAAAGAATGAGTTCATAAGAAAGAGTATAGGTGTAGCGTCAATCGTAAACAAGATGAGAGAAAATAGACTTAGATTGTTTAGTCATGTTATGAGGAGAGAAGAATCGGAAGCTGTAAGAACAGTTATAGAAATGAATGTTGAAGGAAGAAGAGATAGAAAGAACCAAAAAAGAGATGGAGGGATGCTATTGAATATGATTTGAGGACAGCTGATGTGAGTGTAAATGATGTTGGAGATCGTGTCAGGTGGAAGTTTAGGATAAGGGTGGCTGACCCCAAGTAGTTGGAATTAAGGCGAGGAAGAAGAAAAAGGAATATATTTTTAATCATTCTATTTATTTATCAATTGGAAAAATAGACTACACTAATTATTTATTTTTTTATTAGAAAGATTAAATGAAAATTTTATTATTTATAGTATTATAAATCTGATAACGAAACTATTATTATTTTATTTTTCATTGTCAATTTCTTCCCTTAAGGTGTTAGATATTCAATTTTTTCGAATGACTTTATTCTGGGTAGAATGTTTTCTTTAAATTTTCCAATTTCAAAGCAGAAAGGATTTGTTATTGCAACAATAATATAATAATTTTTAAATTTTAGTCCTTGTACCTCTGTGATACTATAAAACCAATCTCCATGTGCCACGCTAACTCCGATCTCTTTAGTATCTTTTCAAATCATATGAAGAGCATGCCCACGAAAACCAGATTCCGCTGTGAATTGGTAAATAATAAATGAGTTATTTAATGTGATAATATTTGTTGCAAACAACATCATTTCAATAAAATAAAAGTTATTTTTGTTATAACAAGAGGTACGATGTGGCTGAGTCGGTAACATGACTGTGCCTAATGCACTTAGGTTTGGCTTAGAGACTCAGTCACAGGTGGTTTGGTTTGTTAATCAAATATCAGTTCAATAATTGAAGAAGCCTACCCCCTTTCAGTAACATAGTAAATTATTGTCCTAGAGTAAAAAACGTTTAAAAACATTTTCTTTGAGAAGGCCTAAATGGCCCTTAAAGCGAAAAAAAGAGAAGTTTACAAAATCGAAACAAACAATTTTTACTTTAATAACTTTAAGACGTTAAATTTTCTTTTTTTTTTTTTTAAATAATACTTGTAGTAAATACTTGTGTTGTCTCCATGCAACAGTAACAACTAGCTCTATTATTCTTTATATTTTGTTTTGAGTCAAATTTAACTAAATAAATTCCTTTTTTTTTGACAATAACCATAATTAGGGTATAATGTCAATTAACTGGTCAAAATTTGATTAATTGACCAAAGAGATTATGACTGCTGATAATCTGGTCAATATAAAAAATTTATACATATGAGCACTAAAGTGTTAAAAAAGTGGAAGTTAACTTAATTTAAAGAACTTTGGTTTTATTTTTGAATACATTAAGTTAGTGATCTAACTTACTGTATTAAGTTAGATCCACATAATTAGGAATTATGTGGATTAAAAGTTTTTTAGTAATATTATAAAATATTAACAAATAAATAAATTAAATAAGACTGATAGTATGAGTATGATTAATTGTAGAGTAAAATGAAAAAAATTTCTTTTGACCTAATTTGAATATTTAACACGTTAAAATCTAGTCAATTAACCGCGAAAGATGTTTGAATGGTCAGAAACCAATCCCTAATTAAAATATTAAATATCGTTTTTGTTTTTGATAATAACTCTTATAAGCTCATTCGGAGACTTCTCTTATTACTTACAATTTGCTCAATAAATTATTCTTGATAAAAGCCTAGATTTTTAGGAGGAAATAATTATTTATTTTAAATTCATTGATGACTTATTATATAATTTTGAATTTGAGTCATTTAATTTAATTTAATTCATTTAATTCTAATGAGAATATATATGTATTTTTTATTGATAATTAATTATATGATAATTGAATTTCTTTGTCGTTGGATTCAAATAACTATATCGAAAATTATTATAATCGTCTAAACTGGAAATAACTGTAAAAAATAATTTACTTACCATCTTTTAACATTTCGGATTCAGTTCCGTGAAAATTAAAAGTATTCCCAAATTCATCTAAGATAAAAAATTCGTCATAATATAGGTCAGCTGCATTACGACCTGCTTCATTTGGATATTTTATTAAACATAAATTCTCACTAAACACTGTTTTTGTTGGTCCATGTTCATAAAGATTAGTTAATACAATATAGTTTGCTAACATTTGAGCCAACTCATTTAACTGAAAAAAAAAATTGCTCATATTAATAAAATAAATAAATAAAAAATTCCAAGAGACATTATGCTAGTTCTATTCAAAATAAATGTTATAGTAACACAAAAAAAAAAGAAATAAAAGATTAAATTGTTGGTTAAAAAAATGATTTATTAAGATTAGTTATATTTGTTGGTCTTGTATGAGCATGAGAATAATTGAGTTACTATAATATTTATAATATAATTTTCTCTCGGGATATGAGCACGAGGGTTTTATGAGAAGATATAAAATATAGAAAAACGAAGTGATGTTTGAAAATTTATTAACATAATAATTTGAAATAGAAATTATTGTGATTAATTATCATACATAGATTATCAACAACGCCACTCATACCAGTAGTTATCTACGCTTGCGCTTTTTGTAAAACCACTTCTTGCATTCGTTGAAAGTTCATGAGATGAATTAGTAATGAGAGAGATTGACAGTTTTTATGTCATTTTATATTAAATTTAATTCATCTATATATGCAAGAAGTGTCACGACCTTTTACTATTATCTGTTTATTACTCAATTGTGTTATTTATCACATAAAATAAATGATTTGTCACAACTTAAGAATTTCTTATAGTTATTACATTAGATTTGTATCAATGCATTTTTAGACATATTTCTCGGAATAGTTTAAAGGATTGACATGAATATTTTATATGTAATTTGATGACTAATAGACAATAACTTATAGACTACTGAATAATGAGTGGTGTATTATAACATTGTAATAGTTAGTACATTATTTATTTTCAAATCAAGAAATATTATGATAAATTATAATTCGTTTTCCTAAGAAAATGGTTGTTTAAATAATAATAAACTTATTTTATAAGTGTTATGAATTTTAATCTTAGGGTGTATTCTAAAAATTCATTGTGGAATCATCTTAACCTCTTCATGCATTTTCACTCCAGGTACTCCATGTAATAATCTATAAAAATTGACTCGATCGATATGCTCATCTCTGATTTTAACTGCTTCGTCTACTGTAGTTCCAATATAATGACCCATTAATTCAATGTATTCATCGCCCATCAAGTCATACCATATCTTATATGCTTTATTCACACTATGATTTAAAGAGTATGTTATCAATTATTATTAAAATAAGTGTAGAAAGGATACATTATTTATTTTAACTTATACCGTAAGTATCGTATGGTTCAAAATAAAATTATGCTCAAATTCTAAGGAATTTTTTGTAGATCTAGTAACTTTGTAACACGCTTGTATTATTTTCACATGTATGTTTGTTGTAAGTTTGTAACTCTCTACGTGCCACGTGTTATTATTCTCGCGTATCCCGTCGTCTATGACCTTGAGACTAGACTGTCGTAACGCATTCACCCCACCCTGTTCACCAAACGCCGGCAACACTAATCCTGCATAATTTTTTATGATGATATTCGCAGGTATATAGCCTTTATTATCAATAGTAGTAAGACACAGTTGTGAATTTATAAATACACTAACTGCCAATACAGAAATTATATCTATTGATAGTCATAATTGACAAATGTGATAGTGATGTCATAAAAAACTAAAAAATAATTTTTTAAATAACCTTAAAATAATAATGAACGAAAAATATTAGTATTATTATGAAAAAAACCGTAGAGCGCTCAATAGACGAAAAATATGGCATAAAGCACCCACGCTTTTTTCTCAATAATACTTTTTCGTTCATTATTGTTTTAAGGTTATTTAAAAAAATATTTTTAACTTTTTAGTTTAAAATACTTTAAAAGCGTGTTTTTTTAGTTTTTTAAACTATATTTATTTTTTAAGAGAATGAATTTATAGAGAGAACATCGTTTTAACTAAAAATTAAACAAAATAATACATTTTTTGCTGATCATGTTTATATTGTATAAAAACTTACTCTCCAAAAGCACTAGGAGTCATTGGCTATCTACTAATATCAAATGTAAAGAACATATGTGACAATGTTGCTAGAAAAATTAAAAAAACTATTTTAGTCATAATAAATTTGAAATTATAATGAATAACTGGAACAAATTTTATAATAATATTATAGAATAATTTCCTTTGAATAAAATTCTTTATTAGATCAGAATAATTTTAAACTAATTTTTCTTTTATTTTAGCGCAACACATTAGTTTAACGAAACATAGATAAAATTTAGTAACATTTTTATTAATTGTTTATTAAACAGTTATTGAAACCTATTAATAAAAATTGTTATTAAATTATTTATTTACCTTCTAACAAACGTGGATGTTATAATTCACGGTTATTATTTATTTGAACAGTCCTACTGTAACAAGATGGGAAATAAACGATTTAATTAAATTGTTTTATTGTGTTAATTTTGTATGACTTATCATAAATTTTTCAATCGTATATCAAATTTAGAAACTGTGTACTGCAAAATACAATTATATACATTTTATTGTTTGTTCAATGGTTTAAGTTTTAAGCTACGACGTAAAGATGAGAAGATATTGAATTTGTGATGGTGTAAATTTTTTTTTTATGTCTGTCTATGCAAATTTTCACTGGTCTATTTTAATGATCAATAACTCAAAATAACTCGATTTTAATCAAGTTATAGATATATCTCAAAATTAAGCTAAACTGAAAAATAGCATTTTTAAACATTTTTGTCTGCTTTTTAAAAATTATGTGACAATTATTCACTATGTGAAATCGGCTGTCAAAGCCAAAAAAAAAGCATTATTTTCAATTAAGCAAATAATTTAAAAAATATTCAATATTCGAGTGGAGGTCTGGCCTAAAGGATAGAAACGTATGTTTCAACGCACGGGGTTCCGGATTCGATCCTAAGGATACCAACTAGATTTTTTTTGTGATTTTCTCATTGATGGAGTGTGGTCTTTGGTGAAAGACTGCCATAATACCCGTCCCATGTATCATTGACTAAGTCAAGATGCATCATTGACTCCCTAACATGTGAAAAAGGTCTACCACCCTCTGTAGCATGTTAAATTCGATAAATAGAAAAATGTAAAATTGATCATTTTTTTAATTTAATATTCGACAGAAATTTGAAATCATAGATTTTCTAAAATTACAAATGTACAAATTATGAAATTTAATTAATTTGTATCGAAAAGTTTTTCATGATATTGATGTGAATTACTGTCATATATCATCTTTACATCTACGTCCCAACTTGGCAGCAATTCCACTGTGCTGGGTTTTTTTTATTAAATATTGTTTTAAACTTCCAATCACGTATGCGGGGGCACCGGGACTATTTTTTTTATTATTGGCAAAAACTCAATGACTTACAATCAGTCCCAAATTGATTGTTACAAAGCTAAAAAAAGGGTGTAAACTAAAATACCTAATCGTTAACTTTTGGAAAATATCTAGTTTCATGGATAGGACATTCAAAATCAAACTTATTAAGTATTCTAACTTTTACTATATTAAATATTTAAATTAAAAAATATATAAATGAAGTACTGAATAAAAATAAATTTAATATTTGTCATAATCTTGAT